CCAGATAAAGGGATGAGGTGGGAGGTGGTTCTGAACTTACCATAATGCAGTTTGACAATAAAAGGATGATTAACTTCTACCAAGATATCACGTTCCATTTTTGTCCGAACACGGTCTCGAACTATAAAAGATTGCACATATGATAAAACGCAATTATTTTTCAAATATTAAAAAAATTTAGCTCTCATTTAAATTAAAATTTTGCTTGTGTGCATAAAACATAAATTTTTATCGTTGTTGAGTTTACAGTATCAATATAAATTTACTTTTACTACATTATATAACCAAAAGTAATTGTATATATTTAGAAACTCTTGTGTTTTAAGTTAAATGAGTTTAATGTCAAATTTGGAAATATTTTAACTGAAGTTCTGGAAAATGGCAAAAACCATGCAAGTTTCTACAAAACAGGACATTTCATGAAATAAGACAAAAAAACCTGAAACAGGGTTCAATGCTTCTATTAACCTCGGCTCAACAAATGCTTGTTAAGAATCCATTAAATGTGGCAGACATGGTTAAGGATGAATATACCCTGAGAACTCTATTTTGAGGGAGGAAAATGAAAAGAGGAGAGATAAAGTGGAGATACTGTGGTACAGTTCAAAGAGTCTAAAGAACCTGAGTAAAATAATGGATTTCTTTATGACATTTTCATACATGCAGCATACTTTGATTATATTCATCACCTAATCATGCTTTATTTTTTATGTGTGCTTTACTTGCATATATACATATATATATGTATATTATGTGCTTGCAATGCCTGTGGAGGTCAGAAGAGTGTGTCAGATCCCCTGGAAATGAAGTCGTGGATGGTTCTTAGCTATCCTGTGGGGGCTGGGAACCAAACTCGGGTACTCTGGAAGAGCAGTCAGTGCTCTTAGCTGCTGAGCCATCTCTCCAGCCCCCCAATTACCATGTTTTGTCCATTTCCTTTCCTAAATAGTCCCTAGAAAGCATGCTTTATATCAGTTAACTTTTAATGCCTAAAAATGCATTTGTTAATAGTTATTCAAGCTGACAAAGCAATGAGAGGCCTCTGACACAGTTACTAGATTTAACCCTCTGGGACTTGAATATTAAGCTGAATAAGAAGAAAAGCTGCTTATGTTTCTAGGACTATACATGATAAACTGTATCCAGTAATGATTTACAAAATCTTTTAGGCTGACAGAACACTCTAGTTTCCCATTTAGTTGGTCTAATGCCAGTGATTTCTAGTTGATCCCACTCACTATATCAATAGGAACTTTAAAATGGAAAGAGATTTCTAGGTAAACATAGGTGTTTTGCTACTTTCTTCTAAAACTCTACTTAAATGACATTAACAGAAAAATTATAGTAGCATTTTCTTATCTGCAAGAGATATGTTCTCAGATTCTCAATGGGTACCTGAGATCACTGAAATACCAAGTCTATGCTATGTTTTTTCTATAAACACATACCTATGATTAATTTTAATTTATAGATTAGGCACAGTAAGAAATAAGTAATAATAATAAATTTAAATATAACAACAATATACTGCAGTAAAAGTTCTTTCTCAGCCTCTCTCAAAATACTGATTTTTAGGGTTGGAGAGGTATCTCAGTGGTTAAGAGAACTGGCTGCTCTTGCAAAGGACCCAGGATCGATTCCCAGCATCCACATGACAGCTAACAACTGTCTGTTAACTCCAGTTCTGGCAGAATATAACAATCTCTTCTAACCTCCTGACTGCTGTGGACATTGTATGACATGGGTGTACTTACATACATGCAGGCAATACACTCATACACATGAAATAATAAAAAAATAAAATGTACTGATTTTTCAGCTTTCCCCTTACAGGAAGGACTTTACACCCTTTCTTTGGCATGTTTGAATTACCAGAATCAGTGAGTTAGTGGTGTGGAGCCATTATTAACTAAGAGTTTTCTAATATAAGTGCTGCAAAAAAATTGTCTTATAACCAAGATAATTTCCAAGCAACTAATGGGCAGTGGGTAGTGCATTATATACAGATGGTTATGTTGAACAGAGGGATGTTTGTGTCCCATGGGACAGAATGAGATTTCATAGTGCTGCTTAGAAAGATGCACAATTTAAAATGTATTTATTTCTGGAATTTTCTGTTTAATATTTTCAGTTTACTAGTTGACTACAAATAACTGAAACTGTTGCAACAAAACCGCAGATTGAAGGATTACTTATAAACTCACAAGGACAAAGAAAAGAAGAGGAAGCAGTAACAGAAGATGAGTAGGGAATTAATGTAGCAGATTAGAGCTAAAGTCTAAGCCAATATCCTTTCTAACCAGCGTTTTACTATGTCACTATCAAGCAAGGGAAAAACAGTAAAGGATCCCAGGCATTGGAGGAAATGCTGTGAACACCGAAAATATAAAAAGAATAGCAGGAAACCAAGCGTGAGGACCACAACAAAACTAGCAAAGATGATATGGCACTCATGAATTAAGAGCGAGAAGCTTTGAAGCGATGAGGTGATGGGAGGAGCAAGTATGGCCAACGAATAAAATATAAGGAAAGAAATAAGAAATGGACACAGAACTAACGGATCAGAAAGCTTAAAGAGAAATCAATTTATTGTAAAGTCTCAACTCTGTGTGTATGCATCATGGATCTTGAGTGCAACAAACTGTATAAAGGAAAATGTATTATGGGAATAGGGGCAACCAGAAATGCAGATAATGACTGGAAATCTCTGTGTTAATGTTTTAGGTGTATTAATGCAGGTTTATTACTTCTGCTAGGAGTCTTAGTCTCTTAGAGATATATAGTAAATATGGAAGAGATTATGAAACATCTGCGATTTGTTTCACATTAAGAAAGAGGGAGTACATAGATTCGAAAAGAAGTATGAGCCGGTAAGCGTTGAAGCAGAAGGGTGGGCAGGGGCTCACTGTACTTTGTTTCTTTCTTAAATGTCTGACACATTCATAATGAAAAACTTTTAAAATTGAATAATCAGAGAACAAGCAAATACACAGAAATTAAAAATGATGCTGGAAAGAAAAAGGTAATAGGAGGGCTGAAAGATAGTTGAGATTTTCCCTGAAAATGAGAGACAAAAATAAAAAAGAGAAAGGATAAAAAATAAAATTAAGGCCGGGTGTGGTTGGCGCATGCCTTTAATCCTAGCACTCGGGAGGCAGAGGCAGGCAGATCCCTGTGAGTTCAAGGCCAGCCTGGTCTACATAGTGAGTTCCAGGACAGCTGGGGCTACAGAGAGACCCTGTCTCAAAAAGACCAAAAAAAAAAAAAATAAATAAATAAATAAAATTAAATTAAGGAAAGATCCAGGAGGCAGAACACACCCAAAGAGAAACTGTTACAAAATGGAAGATAAATGACAAAAAAGTTTCACAAAACTCAAGAAATGAGTTCCTAGATAGGAAGAAACCACCCCACATTTGGTATGATGAAATTTAACAATACACACTGAAAGATACTCCTACATAAATTTCAGGACACCAAAGATAAAGAACAGATTTTTATCTATAGGCTTCCACAGAGGAAAACCTGCTGACACACAAAGGACTGGGAAACAGGACGGCAATAAACTTCGTTAACTGTAACTCAGGAAACAAGAAGACAATGGAAGCAATGTCTTCAAATACACGAGGGGAAATTATTTGTGACCAAGAACTATACACATGATCAAATTCTAAATTAAGTGGGTTGAGTACATTTTCAGACATGCTATATCTCAAATTTTTTACCATGCATTTGCCATTTAGAGGTAACTACAAGGAGATATATTTAACCCAAACTAGGAAGTAAACTGAGTAAAAGATAGGTACAGAATTCAGGAAAAAATAATATAGAAAATATATGAAGGAACTAGGCTCCAGTGTACCATTTCATTCAGCTAGGAACAACTTTTATACAGCAGAAAGAATGAAAACCATACTGGAAAGATATAAATAGGCCAACTGCATGGGTAGCAGTATGAGAAAACTAATCTTCCATCTTAGGAAGTCAACAGATTATGGCTTCAAATGCAAACACTCAAAGAACTCCAAGGAGAGAGTGTGGAGTATTCTGGAGGGATCAATAATAAAGACCTTACTTAAGGACACAATCAAAATTCTCTAGCAGTTTAAACTTACGTAATTCTGGTATTCATACTTTTAAATATTTCCTTCCATAGTTTACGTCTATACAATTTTATGTTCTTATAATAGCCCAATTTGCTATTTTTTAGTTATAATTTCATTAATATTTGTAATATTTTAAACATCTTTTAATCATATCATAAACTTAGTACAATGTAGTTTTCTAAACATCCCTTTATTTTTGATGTCTGCAATTTTTATCTTATTATTATAAATAATGTTACAGTGAAAGTTTTCCATCATATGGACTCCCTTTTTGAGGCTATTTTCTCGGGTTAGCTTAGCAGCATTAATAATGTTCTTATACTTATTGTGAAACTGCTTTCAAATGATGCTGTCATTATATAACTATTATTACTTACTATGCATTTCTTTGATAGTTTTAGGAAATCCGAACACTTCCTTAAAGACCATTTATTTTATCTCCTGTGTAAACTTTACTCAAAGTCCTTTCACATGAGATTATAAAAGCATGTCTTAACCCCTACCTTCACCATTATTTTTATATTTACTAATTGGAATTCAACTATAAGGAAGAATTTCCTTTCTTCTCCATTAATTAATTGATTAACTCATGGATTCTTATTTAATTTGATGAGCTGTCATCTATTACTAACTATTGCAATGTTCCAACTGTCCCAGGTTTAGTTAGTAGGGCACGTTAAAGAACTCCAAATGTGCATTTTTTCTTCTGTGAGTGTGTATATGGTAAATGTGTGCGGGGGTGTGTTCCTATGCCCGGGAGGCCAGGGGAGGACGTCAGATGTCTTGCTCTATCACTTTCTGTTTTATTCCCTTGAGACAGTGTCTCTCACTGAACCTGAAGCTAGCAAGCCACAGAGGTCCTCCCATTTCTGTCTCACATAGTTCTGGGGTTACAGGTATGTACATGGCAACATTCAGCTTTTTATGAGGGTGCTAAGTTCTGAACTCAGGTCCTCTTGCTTGCATTTGTAAGTATTTACAAATGGAGTCATCTCTCCAGTCCCTTAATTCTTTATATTAATAGAATATTTAAGGCAAATATTTTCCTGATCCCATGCAAACTACTTTTTCTAATTTGTTGTTGTTGTTGTTGTTTGAGACAGGGTCTCCCTGTAGCCCCAGCTATCCTGAACTTACTATGGTACACCAGGCTGGCCTCCATCTCACAGAAATTGGCCTGCTCTGCCTCCTAAGTGCTGGGATTAAAGGTATGTGCCACCACATCCAGTGGGTTTTTTTTTTTTCTTTGACATGTTAAATTGTAAAATTCTGATAGGGTAGAATTTGTCATGGTGTAAGATTTAAGAGAAGACACTTGTTTTCCATGTATTTGTGAAATCATCATTTCATGTCCCATTGTCCTACTTTAGCGTACAGCACAGCAGGTATGCAATACCTGTATAAGAAAATTTAATATATATTGTATTACTTTGTTGTACTGATTTCTGTTTGTATTACTTTCCCTAATAACACACTGAGTCACTGCAGCTTTAAGTAAGCTTTAACTCTGGACAAAGCTGTGTCCTTCTTGGCATTCTTTACTAAAATATTCTTTGAAGTATTTTTCAAACAGAATTCTGCATCATTTTGCTAAGTTTTAAAGAAAATTCAGCTAGAATCTTGATATCGCACTAAGTATCTGGAGAGCTAAAGGAATATAAGAGTAACATTTTTTTCTTCTCATAGGAACTGGGTATTTATTTCCTTTTCTGACATCTTTAAGTTTCTCAGTTTTGTAGTTCCCTTTACAAACAGTATATATAATGCAAATCCTGTTACACAGAAAACTAGCCACTGTTCTTGCTTTTGTGAATGAACTGTCAGAGCTCCAACTATATGATTTTATAACATACCATTCAGGAGTATAAAGTTATAAAGTATAAAGTACTAAAAGGGCAAGGTACTGATGAAATTTATTCCCCTGGTTCTAACAAAAATCAAGTAAGTAGTAATGCCGTGGAAGTAAAGTCTGTACAGGAAAGAAAATATATTCAGGAAGGGAGCAAGAAATGAAAGCAAAGGATGATGTTTTTATAGGACTCGACAATATTTCTTGGTACAACATTCATACACATAAAATAAAAATAAGTAAATAAAAACATTAAAAACTCTGTTTAACTTCTAAATATCTTTTACCTATAAAAGCCAAATCCTACATTAAAAATTTCAAAATCAGAGACTCATAATAAAATTTTATTTGGAAACCAGAAGTCAAGATGGTTAAAATCCTTAGGAATAAAAGCTATTTTGCATCTAGGTAATTCATAAGTTTTCCAAAACACTCAAATAATACCATTAATTCGAAGATGAATTAAACCCAGTTTTAATCTTCTCAATTTCTACTTGCCCAAGATGAACTGATAACACTTCTTTTATAACATGTCAAGTTTTTTTCCCACTAGTCATATGACTCTTAGCCCAGTACGGGAAAAAAAAAAAATCACTAAAAGCTACGCTAAATTTAAAGCTGTTAACAGGAACCAATTCAGAAAGTGAGTGACCTCAGGGTCACATGAGATCTATGGAGACCTTTTGGTTTGTTTAGACCAATGAACATGACAAACAGCAGCAGCAATTACCTTTCAGCGTGGCCTTCTTTAATACCTTCATGGCATAAAGCTGCCTAGCATCAGAGCCTGAGATTTTTTTTACTAAGAAGACCTATATTTAAATGAGAGAAAATAAATGTTACAGAGTATCACAAACTATATTCCATTGTTAAAATAAGACCCCTTTCATACTGAAGCTCATTACACACACACACACACACACACACACACACACACACACACACATGCGCACAGAGATATATTCTAACACAGTATAACAGTATATACAGTATATACATGCATTTCATCCAAAATATTATCAATTATCAATAGGAGTTAAACAGTATAGATTGGGATGTCAATGTAAGTGAATTGAATTTTTGTTGTTTGCCAATTCCCAGGGAACATGGAATAGATATAGTAAGATAGAAAAAAATTCTTTAAACTATGCATATAAGAGAATAACCTTATATGGTTAAAGTATGCCACAGGTGGTAATAGCTCTGCTTTTAATGAAACAAAAATTCTTCTGACTCCAAAATTTTCTGTGCTGGGGATGAAACTCAGGGTCTCATTTGCACTAGACACACACTCTACTGCCAAGCTATAGCCCCAGTCCCACAACACAATTCCCTTTTTTTTCCTTCAACAATTTTTTTCTGATTATATTCATCTGTGACTCTGTCATTACTTTCTCATGTCTGGTTTCCACTCAGGCTCTTCCTCTTTCTACTCCCAACAAATCTTTCTACTTCTATGTCTTTTTTTCTATGGTGACCCATTGAGTTTAATTCGGTTGCTTATAGGAGCATGGGTTCCTTACCAGTGGCTACACCACTGAAGAAAATGTCTCTCCCTCCCCTTAGTAACCACTAACAGCCTGTAGATCCTTGGGGGATCGGTAGGGCTTCATGAGTCCCTCCCCCTAGTAATCATTAACTGCCTATAAATCCTCAGAGAGGGGCAGGCCCTTGTGAGCTGCCCCCATTAACATTCTTTATACAGGGGCTTCTCTTGCCAATTTTCTGTTGATATAATTATTCACTGAAGTGTTTTTCTGTGTCTGAAAACTACATATGCATCTCATTGCTGGGAAGAGTAACTTAAAACACTGGTAATGAAGAATTCTTGTCACAAATATTTACTGTGACACCACCTCTCCACCCTTATGCCAGCAAATCATCACATATATCTAAAGGTGAGGGACAGAATGCCCAGTATTGTTGTTTGGCATCTTGATTTTTCAGACATTCTGGGGTATTTTCAAAACAGTGTGGGATTTAGGCAAAATAAATAAGACATCATTTAAATAACTCATAGTCTACCAATAAACCTTACTCATTCCTGATATCTTCCAGCAAACCTTTAAAGAGACCTTTCAAATGAACCTCAATTTTACATTTATGAGAGAGAGAGAGAGAGAGAGAGAGAGAGAGAGAGAGAATGCTATGGATGTACCTGTGTATAAAGGACAGAGAAGGATGTTGGTGGCCTGCTCTGTCACTCTCTGAGATAGGGACACAGAGTTTCTCACTGAATCTGGACCTAGACTGGTAGATAGCAACTCCCAGCAACCTTCCTGTCTCTGCCCTCTACAGTGCTGGGGTTACAGGTGGGCATGGCCACACCTGGCTTTTCTCATGGATGCGGCAGAACTCAGGTCCTTATGCTTGGGCAGCAAGTGCTCTTACCCATTGAGCCATCTTTCCAGCATGGCATGGGGACCTAAATTTTAACTTATTTTTCCCTACTTATTCTCCCTTATCAGTGTTCTGGTTTTTGTTTTCACTTACTTGTTTTTGTTTTTGATTCTGAGACAGTCTTACTTTATATAGACCAGGCTGACCTGGAACTCATGACAATTTGCCTGCCTCAGCTGTCTCCAGACTGCTGTGAATTTAGGTGTGAGCCACCAAGCTTGACTGCAAGCAGTGTTCTTGAATTGACACAGGGGGTAAGAAGAGCAGTAATTACAAGCAAGGATTAAGTTCAGGGTCAGCTCTCAATTATCTGACAGCATACCAGGCTATTAGCACAAAATCATAAAATGATTCTTTCAATTGATTTCTAGGCAAGACAGAGTTTTCTTGTTTTGAGGAAATAGTGCAAAGACAATCAAATGAAAAATATCATATCTCACACATCCCAGAAGCAGGATGTGTTGCTCTTCTGTAATTATGTCCTCTCTGTCTGCACTAAGCCCCACCTAGTAACTTTCAGCCAGTTATAGGGAGCCAATCTAGGAGTAGAAAAGCAATCTTAAGGTGGGCTGCTGTTAAATGTGAAAGATAATCATAGATGTTAGTGATAGTTTGAACAGAAATACATTCTAGTTAGGTAGAGATAATTAGGAGATTCACCAGTTAAGCTACTTTATTCCATTGTATAAGGAAAAAAAAATCTATGGATTCTAAACTTTTCTTCAGTTCTTTGAAAGCACCTTCATAACAATTTTCAGCACTTTTTAGCTTTCATAGTGCTTCCACAAGCATCTGTAATAGATCATCATGAGAATCTTGAGAGGCAGGCCTACTAAACAATGCCTGTTTTACAGCTGCCCAAATGAGGTCTTAGAGAAGTCAAACAATTTGCCCAGCATCACAGTAGAGGTACTGGGGGAAAGATCCATGTCAGCTACCCAGTTCTGGTCTCCTGCTCATGATGGCCTTTAACCTGTTCATTTCTACCAGTGACCAGTCAAGCTCAGTGGGAACAGCAGGAGTTCCAGCTGCCATCTGACCTTCCTCACTCCCCCATGAAGCTATTCTAGGCTCTGACAGGTCATTCCCGTCCCGTTTCCTTGGTTTACACTGGCCTTTAAGGATGAGTAAGAAAGAAGACACCCTATTTTTACTGTTTGCTATTTATAGTAAGGTTCTTAAATTACTTTAAAAGAAATAAGGGGGAAGCACTTTAATTCCTTGGAACTTAAATAATGTGTTCCCTGAAATCTAATGTATAAAAATAAACTTATCTATTTGGGTTTACTGAATAACATCGTAATGCAATTTAATACCAGATATTATGTGTTTGACCTTGTATCATTTAACTCTCACCACTAGCCTATAAGGTCAGGACTATCAGTCATTAATTTTTTTTTCCAGAATTACATGTTAGGCAGCATGCTACTAGTTTAATACTGAGGCATAGCCCTGACACTTACAAAATATAGTCTAATGGGGAAGAAAGCCGATAACAATTTTACAAATGAAAAACTGCAAGTGTAGTAAATGCCATGAAGCAGAGGTATATAATGTTCTGAGAGGATATAACAAGAGAGTGTGACACAGGATGTCAGGGAAGGCTTTTTTTTTTGAGATCACAGGCACAAGAAAGGATACTTAGTTAAGCACAGGTCAGGACAGGGCAGGATATTTCAGACACAGAATAGGATGAGGAAATGTTTTTAGTAGGATGAAATATAGCAGGCTAAAGGACTAGAAAAAGACCAATAGATCCAGAACAGAGTTGAAAAGTGTATAAACTGATGCTTTAGAGGTGCATAGAGGGTCAGACTGAGAGGCGTCTCTGCAATTTTAAGAAACTGTCTTTATCATAACAACAAAGGGGGGCTACAGAGGAGTTAAACAGGGAGAGTATAATACTCGAGTATGTTGGCTTTCATGTAAATAATTAAGGCAAGAATAAATTTGGGAAGATACTGTTAGGAGACTCCTTCAACGGGCCAGGGAGAAAGAGTGGCAGCATATTTTAGAGAGGTGGCAATGGAGGACAGGAAATGACATGATTTCAGAAATATTTATTAAATCAACAGGATTTAGTGACAAATATTGGCAGGGGTGGTATGTATGTATGTGTATGCATATACACAAAGAGAGGGAAGAAGGGAGGGAAAATCTGATTTGAAAAAGATGTTAATACCTCTCAAGTTTCTGGCTTTCTTAACTGGATACCATTCATAGTGACAGAGAAAAGGGCCACAAATGGCCAAAGCATAGAGAATAAGAGTCTGCAGAGTATGGGTCCTTGAATAGGACTCCTATATTAAAATCCAGCAACCCAGGGCTCAGGGACCATTGCAGAACAGGGGGCGGAAAGAACCAGGGGAGGAGGTGTAAGACTAAATAGAGTCTTACAGGCTCCTGGGACCTGGCTCATATGAATCTACAGTAATTGTGTCAGCATGCACAAGACCCATGCAAACTCAAGCAGGCAAAAACCCAGCATAGAAGTGGCAGCAGGCCCTAATCTTAGCCTGAGACTTATTGGGCAGCTGATTATTACTGGGTGAGGAATAACTGATATTCTTTAAGGAAGTGACTCTAGATAGGCTGACTAGACTCCAGTGGATGAACTTGCACTGAGGGACGTGTGGGGACACTAACTTGACTAGACAGACCTTAACATAAAAGACAGAATGCATAAAATGCAGTGGGGGGGAGGGGACTATGGGAGGATGCTGATGGGGAAGGGGGTATAAAGATGATTAAAATGTGCATGAAATACACAAAAATTCAATAAAAATATATAAAAAATATGAAATAGGATAGGTTTGGGGATGGGAAAGATCATGAGTTTGGTCTTAGACTCACTGAGCTCAAAGTGTTTTTGAGACATATAAATGGTGTTAAAATATGTAGCTATAGATAATAATTCAGAGCTTTAGGAGAAAAATTAGATTGGAAATATAAATGTTATGTCAGCAATGTGTGAGCTAAAATTAAGACAATGGCATACAAAAACATCAATCAGCAAGGAGTATAAGGAGATGGCGGTTTAAAAATCAAACCTCAAGGAACTTCAATATTTAATGACATGCTAGAAAAAAGAAATGGAGCTCCAAGAGGTTAAGTAACTTGCTGAAGAACACACAGTTACTAAGTAGAAGAAAAAAAATAAAGTTTAAGTCTGGATGACCTAGAGCATAAAATTATAACTATTGTGCTCTGCTGGCTACCGAGTCTATACATGGATTAAAAGTATGCTATGAGTTTGAAAGAAGTTAAACAAATATAATAAATTATCTGTGAACCAAGAACTGTTAGTCTCACTAAAACATACAAGAGAGTTACAGTGATACTGTTTTGATGCTTGCAGAGAGGTGGTAAGGAATCACTGTACTGTCAAAGCTGAGTGCAACCTCGGAATAGTCCTCTTGCTGACAATGGGTTTGGAAAAAAAAAATCAAGCAGTAGTATCAACAATGCTATACTTAAAAAAAATGTATTTATTTTTTATTTTATGTGTATGCAAGTATTGCCTGCATGTAGGTAAGTGCACCTGTGTCATGCACTGCTCACAGAGGACAGAAGAGGCTATCGGATCCCCTGGAACTGGAGACACGGACAGTTGTAAGCTGCCATGTGGGTGCTGGGATTTGAACCCGGGTCTTCTGCAAGAACAGCCAGTGTTCTTATCTGCTGAGCCATCTCTCCATCCCAATGCTCTACTTCTTAAAATAGAATGAGGTGTTCGGCAGGGGGATATGAAGAAAACTGATGAAGATACTCATGGCACTTGGGAGGCAGAGGCAGGAGAACGATAAGGAATTCAAGGTTAATCTTGGCTAGAGGGAGATCCTTTCTCAAAACAACAATAAAAACAACAAGACCAAGACAACAAAAAGAAGACAGTTGGCAGCATCTTGATTTTCATTCATCACACTTAGTGATGGGGTTTACCCATCATACCCTTAGGCCCTAGGCTCAATCTCACCAGTACACATAAAACAAAATAACAAAGCAAAGCAACAAACATACCCCAACAGCAAGACAACAAAGGCCACACCATCTTAAAGATAAAATCAATTTACTGAGGTTTCCACTACACTTCTGAATGACTTCATTGATATTTGCTATACTTACTATTAGTGAGAAACAGAAAATATTGCTGGTAGAGAGACCAAGAGCAATTCGTAAAATATTTGTTTTGCCATATGATGAAGTATATATGAATTCTAAAAACCAACTTTTCTTGATCTAGGTTCTCATTTTAGTCCAGAATGGCCTTAAATTGACTATATAGCCTAAGCCAGCCTCAAATTCAGGGCAATCATCCTATCTCAGCCTCCTAATTTCTGGAACTACAGGCCAGACTCAGATTCATGCCTGATTAAAAAACAAAACAAAAAAAAAACCAACTTTTTAAAATTTAAAGATCTTTAAAACTTTATTCAGTTCCTTTAAACTATTATTTTTGAGATAGGGTCTCATGTAGCACGGGCTGGCCTCAAACTCTCTATGATCCACCTGCCTGCACTTCTGAAATGTGGGGATTACAGGCTTACATCACCAGGCTTTGTCACTAGGCCCCTTTTTTCCTTGTAACTTTTATTTATTTATCTAGTGTTACGTGTATATATGAGTACCTGAGCATATGTATGCATACCACATGTGTGTAGGAGCCTGCAGAAGTCAGAAGAAGGTATAGGGTCCTCTGGAACTGGAATTACAGCAGTTGTGAGCTTCCACATGGATGTTGGGAAACAAACCATGGTCTACTACAAGAACACCCAAGCTCTCTTAACCACTAATCCATCTCCTCAGCTCCTCCTTTTAACTATTTTTTATTAAGTATTTCATTTATTATTTTTTATGTATGTGTGCACTTTGTGCACGTAGGTAAGTGCACCCGTGTCGTGCAATGCCTGTGGAGGACAGAAGAGGCTGTCGGATCCCCTAGAACTGGAGTTATGGACAGTTGTTAGCTGCCATGTGGGTTCTGGGATTCGAACCCAGGTCTTCTGTAAGAATAGTCAGTGTTCTTAACCACTGAGTCATCTCTCCAGCCACCCTCCTTTTATCTTTTTTTCGGTCTTTTTGAGACAGGGTCTCCCTGTAGCAGAGATCCACCTGCCTCTGCCTCCTGAGTGCTGGGATTAAAGGCGTGCGCCACCACGCCCAGCTTTCCTTTTAACTTTTAAAACTAAACCTTACTTCTTTTTTACTTAAAATACATATGCATATTATTTTATTATTTTTATTTATACTTACGTGTATGTGCATGCCCACACAGGCCAAGAAGATGGCCTCAGATCCCCTAAAGCTGGAGTTACAGGTGGCTGTGAGATACCTCATACGGGTGCTGGGAACTGGACTCTGGTCCTCTGAAAGGGCCGCACATGCTCTTAAATAGCTGAGCTATTTCTCTAGCTCCCCATATATATATTTTAATACAATACATAATAGCTATACATATGTATGGGGCATAATGTGGCAATTTGATAAATTTATGCAACACTTAATGTTCAAATCAGAGTAATTAGCATTTCCCTCTCTTTAAACGTTTATAGCCAGGAATAGTGGTACATGCCTACAATCCTAGTACTCAGGAGATGGAGGTAGCAGGATTGTGAGTTCAAGGCCTGCCTAGACTACATAGTGAGATCCTGCACCTCTAACACAAAATTAACACACAATATTAACTTTCTTTGTGCTGAAAAACTTCAAACCTCTCTTCTAGTTCTTAATGAAGTATATAATAATTTTTGTGAGCTATAGTCATAATACTGTGCTATGTGCTACAGAATATTAAATCTATTCCTTCTATGTAACTATATTTGGTGCCCATTAGTCCCTGCTCCCTCCCCTTCCTTGGCTTTAGTGACTAGCATTCAACTTTCTACTTCTATGGAACTTGCATAAACTTTTTTTAAAGAGCACACAATTCTGACTTACCTTTCCAAATGATCCCTGCCCTAATACTTTTAAAAGTTCAAACTGGGAAGGATCTGCCTTTTCATGGCCTTCCTTCACATGATGTGTGATTGCGATTTCTTTGATGCTGCCTTCTTCCTGTTGAAGTAAATAAAGCAGAGGAAACACAGAGTTAGCCAGAATGAATTTTTTTCACTAGGAATCAAATAATTTTGTTAGTACAACATATTAGAAACTAAAATTAATATACAAAACTACCCTTTACTGATTTATCAAGTGGATAGAAAACACATGACAAATAATTATACTTTCAGGTTAAATGTTCAGAGAATTATGGTTTCCTCATTAAGGCCATATGGCTACCCTAATGTAGTAGTTTCTGAAAATGAGTAGTAAAAAGAAAAAGAACTTCTGATAGAGGATTCTAAGACAGAGGCTGTACATAGTTTGGAGGTTATCCTACTACCTAGGGAGCTTACTTGGACTCTCTCGGAACTCTGGCAACAACAATATTAAACAATTATTTTGTAATTTCACATGCATTATTTCCTATAATTCTAATGGCAACCCTGAATGGCACATATTAGAGCAGAAGCAAGAATTAGCTGATTCCAAGGTGTTACACTATTCCCAAGTAACTTTCTCTGAATTAGACAAGGTACCAGGGCTGAGTGATACAGCTGTTAGTGGTTACATCAGGAAAGGCAGGAAGGCAAATTACTAAGATATTGTTTCTTTTTTTTGATGTAAGGTCTCACTATGTAGCACTGGCTGGCCCAGAACTTGCCATGCAGACCAGGCTAGCCTTGTTCCACCTGCCTCTGCCTCCCAAGTGCTGGTATCAAAGGCATGTACTACCATGCCTAGATTCAAATCCCACCCCCAGCTACCTTTTTAATTTAATTCTCCATGCTTTCTATTCAAACTGACCAGTATTTTCCATTATACAAAATTACATGAAAAAAAAAAAAACTCTAGAAGTACAAATGAGGGGACCTGAGCAGGAAAGAACCAAAGTATCAGGAAATATGTCTAGACAAGAAAAAAATTCAAGTGAACATTGAGGAATCAGCTCCAAATTCTTAAAAAAAAATAAACAAAACTTTCTGAAAAACAACATAGGTGAGTTGGGGCCAGGCTGCATTACACGAGGTGTACCAGGCCAGCCAGAGCTACATAGTGAGCCTCTATCTTAAAAAAAAAAAAAACCAGCAAATAGCTATTAAATATCGACCTCATATCAAGTCTGTATTAGGTGCTTTTTAACCTTATATTTATACTTTCTCATGTGCTCTCCCACTCATCATTAGAAATTTAACAAATCTTTTAAGGGAAAAATGGTTTGAATACTCTATAGTCTGACATTTAAAGAGATTAAATGAGGACTAAAGATCACAAGCCTGTATGCCTACACGTTGTAGGCTTAGGGTTCTGTAACTTCCAAAACAAGGCCCATTCTACTACACTACTCTAAGGCTGTTAACTATTCTTGGTGGTTTCCCATCCAAGAACAATGACAGGAACCTATAGACTATGCTCCTAGTTTTTGCTGTTTGTTTTAGAGACAGTGTAGGCAACGCTGACCTTGAACTTGTGGTAATCCTCCTCTCTCAGTCTCCTGAATTCTAGGATTATAAGCATGAGCCATCATGCCTAGCTCTAGCTAGCCCTTTATCTGCTGATTAGAGCACTGGTGCTGAACTCTTGGTAGCACAGCCCTACCAATAATTATTGTGTGTGTGTGTGTGTGTGTGTGTGTGTGTGTGTGTGTGTGTGTGTAATGTTTGCATGCTTACTGGTTTATAAATTACATACACATAAAGGAACTTCTCCTTTTCCATACCCGAATTATCATCACATTGTATTTTAAAGGCTTAACGGACTGCAAACTTGACTCACAGAGCAAAGAAGTTCATTGGTTCGATTTTAGCATGTGCAAATTAGTTCCTGTGGAATCTAGTAATCATTTATGTCTTTAACTCATAAGGCTATGAAGAACTACACTTTTTTATTTATTTTAATTAAAAGAAGCATTTCATTACAACAGCATTAACCTATTCAATAACATTTTTCTGAGCTAGGGTACATCTCTTTCAAAATTGGCTGTACATTTCTAGGTTTACAGATGAATTATTACGCTTATATAATCTTTTACTCATTATAAACTCTATAAGACATAAAATTAAATGAGGTTCCAATGTTTAAAAAAGATCTCCACTACACTTTTTAATGTTCATTGTTTTGTTGTTTCTCTTTTTGAGTAAGTGGGATGTGATTTTATCAGGTTACCACATTTTTGTACTTCATAGTCCACAGCACATACCTACTACAATGTCTTTCACAAGGACGCAACATAAGTGAGGAGAAATGGCTCCTGAATTATAAACATTTGGCATACTGTAGCAAGCAAACGGAATCAAGCCTTACTGTTACTGTTACACAGTGTGGGCTACAGTCAGGAAAAGGATCTCATAATAAACAGCAGTTACTATTCTTGGCTTTGATAACTACCCATCCTTTCCTCTCGTATCAGTTAAGTTACTACAAATGCAGTCTCCCTTTGATCTCTTCACTCAATAAACATATACTGAAATATCAAATAAGGTACTTGGAATACTTTTCCTTCTTTCTTCTTCCAGTTCTAATGATACCATCCATGTGTAACACTTCAATCTTTCATGTAGAAAACTGAAAGGACTATGGTTACCCATAATACCCTTTCTGCTGTGTGTACTCTAGTTCATCTTTTCTGACACATTTTCTGCAAGTATATAGCTCATTATATGAACTCTCCATGCTTTTCCACATTGAATGCACCCTTGGCATTTAAGGCCCTCTGCAATATGGCTTCAACATACTTTTCTGGTGTCCTCCAACATTTATTATACATAGTCTTGTCAGCCTGAGATATTTTTAAAATTTATTTATGTGTATGTATGTGTCTGTATGTGTATGCACATGAGTGCAGGAGCCTGTGGCGATCAGGAAACAGTGTTGGATCTGCTGGAGCTGGAGACAGATGGCTGTGAGCTGCCATGTGGATGCTGAGAACTGACCTGGGGTGCTCTACAAGAGCAGCAAGTACTGTTAACCACTGCATCACCTCTCAAGGTCCTGAGTTATTTCTTCTTCCATATTTTTTTTTTGTTTCTAAATCGAAGTAAAAAATGTACATGGATAACAAATCAGATTGTGGCAGAATAGCTTATGATGAAAAACATGAATTTTTTACCCTGCTATCTATATTTTCAAATCAATTAGTTTTGCATTTACTTTGATGATTTATTTTTTTTATTTTTTACTTTGATGATTTATTAAGTTTAATGTCTACTTAAAAATAAGATAAAAGGTTCACTTATGTCTCTTCTTTTTCTATTATTTGAAAATTTTATTACTTTTACTTATACCTTTTTTCTTTCCCCCAGTTTTTGAATAGAATCTTAATTCCTTATTGTGTAGAAGAAAGTCAATAGTGCCCATGTAGTCTTTAAGTTTCCCCTGCTTGTGGGTAGCTATATTTTTACAGTTACACCTATTAAGAAAACTATGCTCTGAGCTAGACACACTAGAACATGCTTATCACAGCTCCAGGGAGGATGAGGCAGATCCGGAGTTGGAGGTCAGCCTGATTCAAGGTGTCTGTGGATGGAGGGGAAGGGGGTGGGAGTGGGGGGGAAACACATTGATGCTGTTTTGCAACTTAACCAAATCCTTTAAGTGCTCTCTATAGTATGATCCTAAGTTGTATGTCTACATAGCAGCATTCACATTATCATGATAATGTATCCCTTAAGTGCAAGCTAGGCAATACACTGTATCTCCCGGAAGTAGAATTAGGGATGGTTGATAGATTCCATGTTGGGGCTGGGAACCAAACCCTGGTCCTCTGGAAGAGCAGCCAGTACTATTAACTATTAACCACTGAGCCATCTCTACAGCCCCAGTGATTTACTAAATTTCCTTTCATATGGGCCCCCTAGCAATGATTCCCAAAACCAACTCAAGGGACTTAAAAAACCCGCTTTATCAAATGCTTAAATTCGTAATATTTTTTACTTTGATTCTTATTTCAACCATGAATTTCTTATATACAGTTATTTATTTTTCCTCTACCTAACGGACCCTCTACCATGCTTGGGAGGCAGAAGCTAAGTTTACCACTATTCTTAATCTTATTAACTATACAACCATACTTCCCATTTTTCTAAGAACGCTTTGTACACTGGAGACATTTTATCCTCTCATAATGATTGTTTTCTAGGTTGGCCACATACTCTCCTCTTAGGATAGTTTGTCAGTGCTTTTCTGGCTGAATCTACTATTTGAAGGTTTATCTCCCTCTTTTTCAGATTAACTCATAATTTCCTATGTAAGATGATATAGAAGAAAACATTGGCTTTTGTTTTCCTGAGATAGGTTCTTGATATTTAGCCCAGGCTGGTCTCAAATTTGCAATTCTGCCTCAGTCTCCTGTGTGCTGGGATTACAGATGTGAGTCACCATTCCTTGCTGGAAGAAAATTTACTAAACCTCATATATGTATACATTATTTTGTCTTCATGTTTGTAAAGTTTGGCTTGGTATCGAATTTTAGACTAAAAACAATCTTGCCTCAGATATTTGGTGCCATTTATCCACTGCTTTCTAGCATCTGTGTTGCTTAAGAGATGGGCAATTCTAGCCTAGCCACACTTTTTAGTTGATGACCTGTTTTTTTATCATATTTATTTATTTACATGTGGCATGGCACATGTACAGAGGATATCAGAGGACAACTATGTGGAGTGGGTTGTCTCCTTTGCCCATGTGGTACCTGAGAATGAACTAAGATTGTCAGGATTGCTGGCAAGTGGTCTTACCTACTGAGCCATCTCACTGGCTTGCTTTTTAATACTTAAGAATTATTTTCTTTGTCTTTAAAAAAAACTCCACACTAAGGAGAATCTGCTTTCTCTCAGGTGAGTAGAGAACTTTTACCATGTAAAGATCTGAATTCATTTTTAGGGTTCCTATTAGTTGGATATAGTATATTTGAAATTAAGTATTTTATCTACTTTATGTCTCTACTTTCTGAGAGGTTTTCTTGACTATCTTCCCACTCTTATATTGACTGAATTTTTTGTTGTTCTTTTGAGACA